CCACTTGGCTCCTCGCATCACCCAAAAACAAGAAAGAAAATAATAGCATGGAAATAAAGACAGGCTCTGACCGTGGTTCAAAAGAAAAAAAAAAGGAAAACCCAAGTTCTCTGGCTATTCACAAAAGGTCAAATTAAGCCTTTCGAGTTTTTACCCGTGAACGTGTACCAGTAGAGAGTTTCTACTCCTGGAAAAAGCAAACAGAACCTGTAAGGAACGGGCAAACCATCTGTAAAGACCGGACATGTGCGTACAGGATGTACTAGTACTAGTACGTTTTTGACATATATACATACGCTTCTGCGTTGAATTTTCCGGTCAGCACGAGTCACTGCCGGAAGTCGGTAAATAAAAGAGGAAACTTCTTGTGTTGTATCCACTCTCGCTGGGCTACGCACTAATTCAGAAGCCTAAGCTAACGCACCGAGACCGCTCTGCCGTCTGCTCCGTACGCAGCAGGCGCGGCGCGGGGTCGTCTCCCCGTGGAACCGGTGCCAAAGCAGCGTGCGAACTGCCTGCGTGCCGCGGCCGGGTTCTGCTCTCGGCAGCGCGAAGCGTAGGGCAACGGACAAGGAATAAACAATGTGGCTTGCGCGGGGGTAGGCGGCGAAACGAAACCGCCCGGCACCAGGCGAGCCTCCCCTCCCTCCTGCGTGCCGCGGCAACCCGCGTGCGCGTCGACCCGACCCACGGCCTTTCCGTCCAAGAAAAAGGTCACACGCCACACGCAACCTGTCACGCACGGTATGGCTGGGTGGTCTCCGCGGCCCGCCCGTCCTGCCCACCGACCGACTCGCCGCGTGTCTTTCCAGATAGTCCGGCTGCCCGCTCAAGCCTGTACCACACTGCCGAGCGACATCATTTCGTTTCATGTTTTCATGGGAGAAAAGCGTTTCTTGGACTCGCGATTTCAGCCTTAATAAATAATAATCGAGCTATTAACCCTACAAAACAGAGTGCCGCCTGTGGAATGGTCTTTGACGAAAGCCCAGTCTTTTTGTTGTGGTTCATGGTTGATGTTCAGTCGTAACAAACCAGCTGTTTGAATTTGCCAAGTTTGAAGAATGGTCGTTCAATTGGCAGCAGTTCGATCAGCTGCTACGTCAGACGCGGCAGACGTCAGCCGAAGGAGCAATTGAAAGACCAGACTCTGTACCTTCACGTATGCAGCTACGGATGCATGAGACCCATTCATACGCTACCTAATCTTCTCTTATACTCGGTATTTCTCAAAAAAAAAAGTACTTCTGTTTTACTCGTCGTTTTACTCTTTCGGTCGCACCCAATAACCCCTTTCTAGTGACACAGAGGTACGGTAGAACAAAATCTTACATTTTTATAGTAAAAACTCTAAAGTCTATGTTCCCATTTCATTGTTCAATTCAAATGTCATCCGTCACAAAATGCAAAATTGACTGCAACCAACATAGCCTCAGACATTGGAAATCAACGGTGCAGAAGAACTATCTGGCCTAAACATGTTTCCCATGTTCTCATCGACAAAGCACCTACGTTAACAGTGTCACTCACAAACCAGCATTGCACGCACACAGAAAGTTTGAGCCGTTCTTTGCAAAGATCACCCAAGTCCACCTCCCTACCTATCTTGATGCTTGGCAAATCAGGCACGGAGAAACTGTCTCGGGAGTCAAAGGCGCAAGGGGACGCGGCTACTAGACAACCGTCTAAAAGTATTCCGTGTCTGCGACGACAGTGCATCTGGGGGAGGTGCCTGGATGTTCGCACACACATTGCGCTTTTTGCCTCAGTTTTCTGGCAGGAAGGCACGCTCTCGCATCATAGCCACCGAATCATGCTGAAATTTTTTCATACGAACCGGTGCTTTGCTTCCTTGCCAAGAGCAAGGAATCCGAGTACTTGTTTATGCGTTCGCTAGCTCCAACCGACCACGTACACGCCGCTTCAACTTTTCTAGATTATCTTTAGGTATTGACGACGCTGAGTCTACTGGAATCATGCTGAAATTTTTTCACACGAACCGGGTGCTTTGCTTCCTTGCCAAGAGCAAGGAATCCGAGTACTTGTTTATGCGTTCGCTAGCTCCAACCGACCACGTACACGCCGCTTCAACTTTTCTAGATTATCTTTAGGTATTCACGACGCTGAGTCTACTGGAATCAGGAGTTGTGTTTCTTGCGTCTGGGATGTACAGGAATTACTCAAATGCGCACACGTCGCGCCCTTGTTATTGATTTCTACGGATATATTTCTTATGCGTGTGGGTACCTGAACGTGAATGGATGAATGCCTGTTCCGTCCAGATACATCAGAATAATAATGTTTAGGCACATGTCTGGAATGTCCTCCAACGACCCCCAATAATCGTAGCACCATACTGTGCAGCAGTTTTCACGAAATCACCAGCAGCGGCAGCAGGACAGGACTCTGCACGGCGCGCCTATATCAGTTTTCTCAAGGATAAATCAAATTAAACCCTCTAGATAGGACTCTAGAGTGATGGTGCATGTAGAACAAGGAACTCTAACCAGCAACAACCAAATATATATGATCACACTGTAATTAAGAATTTGTTCAATATCTAACTAAAGTCTGTCTGTGTCTAAACATAAATACGGTGTTCTAACTTAGGGCCTGTTTAGATCCATTAGCTTGTCAATACGGAGGCCAGACGTCGTGGCCGGCCCAGCGATAGGCGGTCGGCCTGGCCGGCTTTGGGTCGGCCTGGCTGGCTTTGGGCACTCGGCCTAGCCAGCTCTGGAAGCCGGCTCAGCAGGGGTAGCGCCATCTCCATCTCCTTTTTTGCTTTGTGTTTTGCATTGTGTTGCACCCAATATTTTCTAGCACGTTCTTGATGTCAGTAATTTGATGGTGTAGCCCAATTTTTGTACCGGGGCGTTTTTGCATGTCAACACATTCCAAACTAGAGTAGGTAGATAATTTGAGCTGGGTTTTAAGAGTTCATATTGTAAGATGTCTAGTTTTGAAGTTTTAAGGAGAAAAATCAAACTACGAGGATAGGTATAACAGACTTCTTTTTTTCCCAAACAAAACTACGAATGGTTTGGGCCGGTTAAAGAGGTCGGTGGCAGAACGAAAGATTGCGCCTTTCAGGCCTTTGGGGCGACGCGACGCGCTACATGCGAACGGGTATGGCCGTATAAGTTGGTCGGCCGTGGGCCGTGGGCCTATAACCAGTAGAATTAAGAACCAGCCCGAACAGCCGGAGCTCGTGCTCCGCCGCCTTCTCAAGTCAAGAGCTCGTGCTCGCTTCAGCCGTCGTCCTCCTCTCCTCTCGATATGCCGCACTTCACCTTCATGTTTTTTGTATGCGTGCCTTGTCGCCTTCGCCCTTCGCTGTTTAGCGGTGGCGGTGGAGAAATGCCACGAACCACCCAGTCCCTAGCGCGAGGGGCAGCACGCCACGGAGGCGGAGACACGGACATCCAATCCCGTGGCATACAAACGCGTCGCTTCGGGGATTGGTGGTTATGTCCACGAGATGGGGTGCATCACAGGAGGCAATCGACGGCCGCATTGCGGCGGCGGCGGCGAGCCTCGATCGATGCAGGAAGCCAGCGTATCCACGACGCTTGAAGCTCGAGGCGGCGGCACCATTTGAGCCCCTCAGGGTGTGGGAGATAAATTGCGGCAGAGCAGCTTGTGGCGGAGGCGGAAGAAACGCCCGCCACACATTCGACCCTAAAAGCTGTGGCGAATGCTTCTTGTGGCTATGGCGAGCCTAACCTCGGTACTCAACCAAACACCAGCCTAAGTAGTTGTGGCAAGCCTAACTTAAGGTGTGGCAGATTATGGCCCCTTGTCTGCCTCTTGCTTCAGCTGTCTGCCGTCGCTTTAGTAAGAGCCTGTTTGGTTCGAGTAGCTATTAAATTTAGTAGTTTTTAGTCACTTTAGTAACTTTTTAATCAAATGCTATAACTAAATATGATTAGTAATTTTGGAGTTAGTAAAAGTGATTAAACTATTTAGTAGCTACTAAAGTTTGGTAGCTCGACACAAACACCCCCTGACTCCAGTGCGTGGACAGAGACGAACACGCGTAGGGAGGCATCTCCAGTGTGTGGACAGAGACGAACTCCAGTGTGTGGGAGATAAATGGCGGCAGAGCAGCTTACGGGGTGTGGGAGATAAATGGCGGGGAGCCGGGGAACCATTCGAGCGACGACGAACGGGGTGCCACCGCGATTCACCAAAGGCTTGCTGGGATTTCCCCTCGGCGATCCACCCACAGAGAAAGAAGTTCTAGGTGATTTTATCCAGGTGAGAAAATTTACTTGATTCTTTTCTTGTTCGGGTAGATATATATGTGGAGGGCTGATATGATAGTGAATTAGATTGCTGCTGCAGAATAGGTATTAGATTGCTTCTCGTTTTGTTTATGTTCATAGATACTAGTATTTTTTGGGCTAAAACGTAGCATGAGTTGTAGTCATTGTATTTATTTCCCTGATTAGAGGTAGTCACCTTTCATTTTTCTGTCAAATTAAGAACATAGGGCTTTGATTCTGCGAGGTCAGTCCATAATGATCTCAAAGTTCGTCAATCAGTTAACATGTTCTAAGTACCAAAATATAATGTTGCAGATGATTTGTACTCAGCGTCTTAAGAGCATTTAAAAACTGCAACAAGCATCTTTAGGCAACTCACATATGATTGCAGCTTCTTTTCCTGTCCCCTTAGTTTGGGTGCTTTTAGAAGAAGAATCAGTGTAGGATCTTTTCTTTACTAAATAATTCGCTTTGTGCTCACCACGCAGCTGCTTAATATAATGAGGCATCTTGGTCTAATTGCATTCTTCTTCTTAATATAATGATTCATGGTTCTCGTGCGTGTTTTACAAAAACATTGTAGGATCTTTTCTTTAGTAAATAATTCTGCACGATTAAGACGTCTGAACTAGAGGTGCACTATGCGTCCTTTTATGTTCATGTTGTCTTTGTTCTCGACCTTTCTCAGGATACAAACCTCATTTCTGCAGTCTGATTGTAGGAAAGGGAGCCATGGACTCCACAGGCCAGTTTTACAGAAGTCCTCTGCTAGAAGAAGACAACTCCGTCCAAGAGGTTCTCTCTCTCCCTCACGGCCTCACCCCCTCAGTCCCTCCGTCCTCCCTCTCATCATTTTTTTTAAAACATCCTCCCTCTCATCATGTGTTTGGTCCCCAGGTGCTTACAAAAGAGCTTAGTATCCTCCATGCCAGCCTGCTAGGCCAGAGAAAAGTCCTGATTTGTTTCGGAGGACCGTTTGGCCTGCATTTTCTTACTCTGAAAAATAATTACAACAATAACAACATAGCCTTTCAGTCCCAAGCAAGTTGGGGTAGGCTAGAGTTGAAACCCACCAAGAGCCCCAAGTCACGTTATTTGGGTTTCATCTCTATTAAAGTGGCTAAGTTTTTACATTAGCTCGCCGCGTCTAACACAACCCTCCTCCTTTACCAGGGCTTGGGACCTGCTATGCTGGGACACCAAAGGCGCCCCATCATAGGCGGAGTTACTCTGAAAAATAATTAAACAACAGAATACTGGCCTGGCCTGGCTCTTTTCTCATTCTGACGCTGCCTAGGCCCAGCTTGAAACTGCGATCGAGGTTGGGCTTGAGTGATCTCCAGGTCGTGTTTTTTCTCCTTGTGGCTTAGGTGCAGCTGGAGCATGCTTTCGGTGTAATGCTTGTTCACAGATGTGCATTCATTTGTGCACATGTATTGATTCTAATTATTTTACACAAGCACGTCCATTACTTGCTGTAGTGTCTGTAAATCTGGACTGTTGATATGATCAGCTACGTAGCTTTTTTAGCTGCAGGGTTGGAACAGTACTTCCTTGTTCTCTGTAGTTCTGTATACGTGAACAGCTTTATAATTTTGGTTGTTCAAATTTTAAAGTATGATCACTTTTATATACCACATCCAAGACTGTAAGAACATTTCTGGAGTTCATTCTTGTTTACTATAAATACTACTTAAGTAATTATAAATTACTTAGCTACATGTAAAACTATTGTGCATCCCATTGTCCTTTCAGTGTGGTTGTATTCTAATTGCATCAAATGGATATAGCATTGTTTTCTGGTAACTGGCCTTTTGGTATTGTTCAACACTAAGTCATTGCATGTTTCAAGAAGGAGCTGATTATTTTAATACCAATCTTTATTGAAATATTTGCTTGGCTTAATTCTTTTGAGTCACAACTGAGGACCACAAGTAAAGAGGATTCTGAAGAAAATCTGGAAGGGGGAAGAAATAGACATGTGCTAACTCTTTTGATTCTTCTTGTTGATCATTATTTTTAAAAACTGATCCTTGGGTGTTCCCTCTTTTTTTCCTCAACTAATCACTGTAGCAATATATTTTCAGCATAACCATACAAAATGGTAGTTCTGTGTTTTCTTCTTTATACATGATTAATTTGACTTCTCTTACCTTAGTTCGTGGTCCTGGGTCCTTTAAAAATTAAAATAATGTTCATTACATTGCTTTTAGCTGTGAGAACATTCTTCTCAAAATTAGATGGGTAAGACTACCATTTTGGGTTCAATTTCTGAATGCAGGATTCTGTAGAATGCACAGGTGATGGATCTGTTTGCTTCCGTGGACATCCTGCTTCCAAAAAACATACAGGAAAATGGAAAGCTTGCTCCTTAACCATATGTAAGTGTGAAAAAAGTTCCATTGTTCAATCATCCTTTGCTTTGGAAGACAAGTAGGACATGAAATGGTGAAATTTCGTTGAATTTAAAAATAGTTTTTTATGCATGTGCTCATTATTCAATACAAGATCCGACATGAAACGAAATGCACTGTTGCAGTTTGTTCATTCTGCTCGTACCTGGCCATTTCTTCAATTTCAAAAAACCTAGTGAGTTATCTCACAAAAGTGCTACATGAAACAAATGTGGCTGCTGCAAGAAATGTTTCAACTTGGCAAGGCACTAGTTTCCTTGTACCTCTGATTGGAGCGTTTATAGCTGATTCATATCTGGGGAAGTACTGGACGGCTCTGATCTTCTTCACAATCTTCAATACTGTAAGTGCAAAAAGTATCCATGCTATAATTGGGCACATGTGCAATAGGATAAGATTCTTCCTTTGAAAAAAAACCCCACTTCAGAGAGATCCAAAGTATGCAGAAGAGTTGAAACCTTATTTTGGTGAAACAACATAGTTGTATTTTAATGGATGCATGATAAAACCAATCTGGCTTCCCAAAGTAGACTTCTCGTTACTTGCCTGTTGTGATATACATGTCCATTCGACACTTGAGTGAACTTAACATGCTTTCTTTTTTTCCCTTTTGATTGACATCTTTTTCCTATTCTGTTGATTTATTTAGGGAATGATGATGTTGGTCCTGTCAGCAACATTTCCATTGATCTCTACTGATCCACATGTTTGGCCTGCTTGGACATATTCAGTCTCATCTCAGCACATCATATTCTTTTTTGGCCTGTATATGGTTGCTATAGGGTATGGTGGACAGAACCCCTGTGTTGCATCCTTCGGTGCTGATCAATTTGATGATACTGATGATGAGGAGAGAACAAAAAAGAGCTCTTTCTTCAATTGGCACCATTTCGCAATCAATGCTGGTGCACTGATCTCAGGGACTATTATCGTGTGGGTCCAAGACCATGAAGGCTGGCTCTGGGGTTTTGCCATACCTGCACTGTTTCTCATTTTTGGTGTGGGTAGTTTCATCTTGGGCTCTAGTGTGTACAGATTTCAGAAACCTGGAGGTAGCCCTTTTGCAAGAGTGTGTCAAGTTATTGTTGCGGCTACTACGCAACTTTGATAAGGTCTTGCCAAGCGATTGTTCACTTCTTTATGAGACTCAGGGCAAGGTTCAGCAATTGAAGGAAGCCGGAAATTGGTGCATACAACTGGATTTGAGTAATATTTTGTTCTGAGTTTTTTCCTTAACCTTATATGATCCATTTATTTACGTTTGCATTTCCATATAAGTTTAGATGATTAGTTTATTTTGCAGATAATACTTTCTTATATCATGTATAAATAGCATGTGAAACCCTACAGAAAAATATTCTTGCACACTGGATGAAATTCTAGAATCTAGAGTAGTAAAATGGATGTATTGTAATTTGTACATAAACCATTTGCCATTTCTTTTATTTGTTTGTGCCATATGAGCAGTGATTTGAGTTATGTTTAATTTGATAGAGCTTGGTCCGCCTTTTGCTTCAATCGATACTTTAATTCTTATATGACTAATTTTTGTATGGGATTCCACGCAATTCCACTTTACTAGTTCTGAAGTGTTAATTTAGGTCGGCTAAAAATTGCTTCAGGAACTGGTATTTATTGACACATGGCTAGGATATGCAAAATTTGAAATCTTGTTTTTATTGGATGACCTTAAATGTTAATGCTGACATGTTTGGTTTATGATTATGTTGAAATTCATGGAGCACAACCATAGATCGCAATGAATCACATAAGTTAAAAATTATAAGAGCTATAGAAATGTATTCTTAATATCATCTCCAAAGGAATGTTGCCTGTGACATCTTTAGTTCTGTTGATGATTAATACAATTTTAAATTCTCATGCACTTTGATTTGCTCAATAGGAACCCTGCATTCTTACTAAATCTAAGCATTTAGAGAAGTTAAAATGCACTAATGGTATGGCCAATTGTTTTTCTTCAGTTAGTATTAGTAAGGTAATATTGTTCCTTTTCTCAGGTTTTTTGATAAAGCTGCAATTGTGACATCCGTTGGTTGTGAATCTGTTGGCCGGCTTAATGCATGGAGAGTCTGTACTGTCACTCAAGTAGAGGAGTTCAAAATTTTGATCAGGATGCTCCCTATTTGGGCTACAATGGTTTTATTTGCTACAGTTCTGGCACAGATGTCTTCAACATTTATAGAACAAGGGATGGTCATGGACAGACACGTTGGCCCGTTGGAAATACCTGCAGCATCATTCCAATCTGTAGATATCATCACTGTTCTTGCCCTAGTTCCGATCTATGAAAAAATCCTTGTTCCAGTGTTCAGAAAATTCACTGGCATGGCTAAGGGCATTACCCCTCTGCAACGCTGTGGGACCGGTTTATTTTTATCCACACTCTCAATGGTGTCAGCAGCATTGGTGGAGGGCAATCAGTTGCAGACTGTACAAGACAGAGGCTTGGTGGGTCAGAATGTGGCTGCGCCAATGAGCATCTTGTGGCAAGGACCCCAGTACTTTCTGATCGGTGCTGGTGAGGTGTTCTCACTAATTGGGTTAAACGAGTTTTTCTACGAGGAATCGCCTGATGCCATGAGAAGCTTGTGTCTAGCATTCTCACTCGCTAACATCTCGGCTGGACATTACCTTATTTCATTCATCATTTCTCTTGTTCCTGTGTTCACGGCCAGAGGAGACAGCCCAGGGTGGATACCTGATAACTTGAACGAAGGGCATTTGGATCGATTCTTCTGGATGATGGCTGGTCTGTGTTTCTTGAATCTGTCAGCCTTTGTATTCTGTGCAATGCGGTACAAATGTAAGAAGGCGTACTGAGCACAAGTATATAGGTTGTGTTTAATTTGCACTCTGCGCAATGAGTTTGTTTTAACGATTTTAAGACATTCAGATTTGAGAGCGCGAAGTGCCAGTTTGGTAAACGATGAAATCTTTTCCCATTGAAAACCCAATTTCAGTACAAACCATGTTCACCATTAGATTATGCTAGAGCAATAAATAGAGAATATGTCGTACTGCAATGTCAAGTCGGAATCGTGCGACGAAGGCAACCGGCTTTTGCACTTGAGATTTGCCAGCACTGAGCCTATAGGCGGCAAAACCTCAAGTGATGCTCGGATTTGGATTGGATGTGTTCTAGAGCTGACCCCAGTCTGTTGAAGCACCTGAATTCCTTGCGTGCAAGCTGTTGATGAGACTGGGAAGTACTGTAACATTATGTTTCATTGCGTGCAACTATGGATACATGAGACACATTCATACGCTACCTACGGATATCGGGAAGTATTGTAATTCCTTCCGTGCAATTTGAATTGGTTTTCTTATTCACCCCGTTCGCTTAAGCTATTTTTAGCTATGAAACAGTGTTTTTCTCTCACAACATTTCAGTACAAGCATCAGCATAAATCAAATTTTAGCATAAGCGAACAGGGTGATTATGTTTTATAAATATATTTTGTAATAAAGTTGTGTTTTGGAGACTAGACCAGAAACTATTTACTTTAGGGTAAATATTTTTTTTCGACCTCCAAGCTTCATGACAATCCGATTTTCAATCCTAAACACAAAATCGATTAGTGGACACTCTTCAATTATCAAAACAGATAAATTTGGTCGACTAGTTTTATAGATGGTTTTCTATGTTCTAAAATAATAAAAATCTATTTTGATCTCAAAAATTTATAACTAATTTATTTTCACTCAGAAAATATGAAACTAGTACTAATGTTTTTTTTCCTAAAAATGTTATCTTGCTATTTATGATGCATATATAGTTATTGGGAACTGGCCTATTTTTGTTCTTATTGCTTGTAGTCGTGCTCATTATTTGTTTAAAATAAATAAGATCTAAATAAGTCTAAATAGGCACCAATAGATAGATAACATTTCTTGAAGAAACTTGAAAGTAATTTTATATTGAGTAAAATGCACCGGAGGTCCATTAACTTTTGCTGGGTGTCATCTAGGTCCATCAACTTTGAAACTGCATTTTTAGGTCCATTAATTTTCATTTTGTGTCATCTAGGTCCATCAACTTTGAAACTGCATTTTTGGTCCATGAACTTTTAAAATGGTTCACTGCAGGTCCACGCATGCATGCATGCACGTCGGCTTTGGCCTCCGGTCTTTGCGTCGGTGGAGCTGCAAACTGCAAAGCAGCGGTCCAGCCACTACCGTGCTGTGCGTGTGCGCTGCGTGGTTGGCGCTCCGTGTTCCTCAAAGGCGTCAGCTTTGGGGTGGAACGGCGTGTTCGTGCGGCGGCCAGACGTGGGTGCTGGCGCGTGCCTAACGGTGCTCGGCCCTAGGCTCGCGAGAGCTGGGCGCGGCGTGTCTGCAGGGTGTGTGGCCGCGGTCGCGGGTGACCGGTGGCGATGGTGATGCCGCGATGTGCCGGCGAGGCGTCCGCGTACTGGTCCGTGCCCCTGGGTGGCCGTCGGTGGAGACCCAATGCTTGTGCATCGGTGTGCTGAGGCACCACAGCCTGTGTGTGCGTGTGTGTGATGGCGAGGAGGTAGCGACAAGCGTAGCTATCGGCCATGGCTTCGTGGGCGCGGTCCAAAGGACGGATAGGCCGAAACGGTGACCAAGGGTCGAAGGACGGGAGTTCGGGTTTGTGCAAGGGCGTGACCACGATCCGGGCAGCGGCAAGGCAAAGGCCTGTTCGCCGCCGTGCTGTGCGTGTGCGCCGCAAGCGCGGCTTGGCACGCCGGGCAACGGCATGATGAGGCCGCAGGGGTGGGGGAAAGCTACGGCGTGGTGGATATGCGGTGCGCGTGTGCAAGGCTGCGGTCACCGCGTCAGTGTGCTAGAACGGTGGGCGGCCAGGAAAGGCTACGCCTTGGCCTCCATGCATCCAGGTGAGGGCCAAGCCAAGGTGTGCAGGTGGTTCAGTGGCACGGGCGTGGCCGCGGCGCGCCGTGGTCAAGGTGGCCAAGCCGTGCTCGTGCGGTGCGCGTGTGTCGGCGCCGGGGGTGTGCGGTGACGGCGAGACGGTGGCGGTAGCAAGGCCACGGCGTCCGCAGGTGCCCGCGACGGCATCGCCTAGGTTAGGAGCTGCCGAGTGCAGGGCTGTGCGTGTGCGCCGCGAGCACTGAGCTAGGACGGGGCGCGGGCGAACGTGTGTCCGTGTGTGCGGTGTCCGTGACCGCGTCGCCGTGCATGACGTGCGTGTGCGAGCGCGCTACTCGCGTTCGTGACGGCGCTCGGCCGTGCGGCGATCGTGGGTGGCTACCGGCGCGGTAGAGACGTCGTGCCATGCACGATAGGCAAACAGAGCCGGCGTCAAAGGACGGGACATGTAGGCTTTCGAGGAACGAATAAGGGCTGGGGCTTTGGAGGTCCAGTGCAGAGGCGGTGATGTCCCCGTGCAGGACGGGCTCGGTGCAGGCAGGGCCGGTGCAGAGGCGGTGATGTCCCCGTGCGTGGCCGCGACGTCGTTGGCGCACGGTCGTCGCCTGGTCGCAGCACTGCGAGGGCTCGAACGGAGTGGCGTCGCGACCTCGTGGTTCGGTCCCGAACGCAAATCGACGCTGTGACGTGCCCCGACACGCCGCGACGAAGCAGAGGTGGTTGGCGTGCTCTTGTGCGGTGGGATTGGCGAGGACGGGGACGCCGGTGAACGCGACGTCGTGCCCTGCACAGCTTGCCGTGGCAGCGTGATGTGGTCAGAGCGGCGAGGCTAGGTGCAGGCGGAGCTCCGTGGCGGCGGCGTGGTGCTGCTGCTTCTCAGGGGGTAAGGCCATGGCGGAATGGAAACGGACGGAAAAGGCACGTGCGCCGTGTCACGTTCACCGGGTCAAGATCCTGTTCCGCCCGGCAGACGAGCGACGGCGGCGAGTGCAGGCATGGCTCCACCGACGCAAAGACCGGAGGCCGAAGCCGACGTGCATGCATGCATGCGTGGACCTGCATTGAATCATTTTAAAAGTTCATGGACCAAAAATACAGTTTTAAAGTTGATGGACCTAGATGACACAAAACAAAAGTTAATGGACCCAAAAATACAGTTTTAAAGTTGACAGACCTAGATGACACACCAGCGAAAGTTAATGGACCTCCGGTGTATTTTACTCTTTTATATTCGTTGGTGCAGATGGTGATGACGCCATACATTCTTACGCTCATTGTTTTACTCGCTATTCTGACGGCATACGATTTTGATGGCATACGATTCTAACGTTCATTATTTCCGATGGCGTCAGAATAGTGAGGACGTCATACTATATTTGATATCGTAAGTAGGAATGAAAATGAGACGGATATTTCTTGATATCCGTCCGTCCTTAAAAGGGTCAAGCCACTTATTACACGTAAGGAATTTAGGTGCTTCAACTTTATTACAAAATATTTATAAAACATAATAAGACAACCTAAGAATTGCACTTGTTACTAGGAGTATATCCTTAGATTATTTATGCAGAAATATTGACACGCTTAGGTACTGTTTGGATACAAAGTATTTTTAGAATTTTAGAAAAATACTATAATTTTGTGACATGCTTTGGTTTTAGAGTGTCATGAAGTGTTTGGATACCAGGCTTATGATTTTGAATACCATGGTATTATTAAAATTGTAGTCTTTTTAAAGTTTTTTAAAACTCCATTGTAGACATCTTTTTTTCTAAACCATAATTTTGCACACCAATATGTTCTAAAACTGTAGTTTCTTGATACCACAAATTTTAATACTAAATATCCAAACAAGGCCTTATCCGCAAAAATGCAAAATTACCCCCCTAATGGTTAGCATACAGAACTAGCGAATTGCACACAGCTTCACGTGAAAGTTAAATCAACCATTTGGAAAGTATTTAACACTTTTGCAATTACGTAGTTTGAGGAGGATGTGGATGTAATATCGCCAACGAGTTATTCCCAAAGCTCCAACAAGTTCGGCGACTCTGCTGGTGCTCGGCAGCGAAGTCATACAAAACTCAAAACCATATAAGCTCGTTGATTCGTCGTCTCTGCTTGGCGAATCAGTATTAATATTAGTTGCAGCAGCATCAATTGCCGAAGAAGCAATCACTGATCACCCTTCAAGGCTCGAAGCTTTCCCTTACTCCTGGAGAGAGAAGCCTCCACGTCTTCAGCAGCTGCATCCATGGAGTCGTCGTTGGAGGAGGAGCGGCGGCAGAACCTGCTGGTGCGCGCGACGGAGCCGGAGGTACTTCACCACTATTTCTGAATGGAGATTTTGTTCCTTTTCCTGAACTTTTGGTGCACCAAGATTCAGAATCCGTAGGGGGTTCTTTTCTAATCCCCTTTAGCTTCTTCTTTTGGTTAAGTCCCGCTTGATTGCAAATGCTTAAATTGGTCAGAATCGGAAGAGAAAGGAGGAGGAAACTACACTTCGATTGCTCAGTTCCTGGGATTCTCACTTCGATTGCTCAGTTCCTGGGATTCTTGGGATCGCTTGGACCTTTGAATTTATTAGCGTGTGCTTCTGTTTGCTGGATTGCAAATTCAATAGTCATGTGGAAGGAAAATACCAATGGAAAAGGGGGGCACTGAACAAATGAAAGATAAATAGGATATATCTTGGAATAATGGATTGGATGTAGTAGGTTGCTACACGCAACAGTTTGAGGACTATAGGCCGATTGACTTGTAAAAGTTACTTGTGGAATGCTCCCAAAAATACCTTTTTTGCTCTTAAAAAAATACTTATGGAAGTGAACCAAATCGGTTTTCTTGAAATTTATTTATTTTTCATTACTACAAGATACACTGATGTTGCCTTGATTGAGAGCTTTGATGTCTAATTTGATTGGTAGTGGGTAACTTTTCTGAAGACTTGATTGAAACAGTTGGAGTGG